GTAGAAAACAGCATTTTTTATACATTCTGCTTACATCCAATTAAGTAATTATATAAAAGAAGTGAGATTTTACAGCTGATTTCTTAACTAAAGAGGTTAGCTATATACATGTGAATTTTTAAATTAAATCCAGATAAGCTAAAAGTTAGCATAACTATAAGTAGTAAGTTGTACTCAGCTGCCATCTTGAAAACTTGTTCTGAGCTTTTTTCTTTGRTTTGGTTTCATCTTGCACAGAACTGTTGAACATATGTCCAATTAATCATAATAATTTAAGGTAAAAAATGTCACCGAACCGATCTTACTTATTCCTGGAGTGTATTTTAAAGCCAAATCGCCCATTTGTTGATTTTTATATGTACCCGGCATCGAAACTAAATCAAGATTTTCRTCACAAAACCTAACCAAAATAACCCTAATGCTAAACAAAGGACTTTTGTTCATTAATAATGTTTAGTTCTTTCGAAACAGAACGTTTGACTTCCACTTACACTACCTCATAATTTAAGCTCAAAGTTAGTAAACACTGAAATACTCGTACTCACCGATTTCCAGCAGCAAWGTGTAAAATAATTCACCAAGCTCGTTTAACAGGATCTCAACTAAGAACATCTAATCATGATCCTGGTTTTTGGAAGCACTATGAACGCTTGAAAGGCTAGAATTCTTGTTGAACTCGCGCTACTCGTGCTAAAACGATCGGAGAACCGTTACAGTTTCAAATGATGGAGGATCCCAAAGAACTATGGGATCGTAATATGAGGAGCTCTTCACCAGGCTCTCTCTGCTATGTCATTATTTTCTCTGATCTCGCGTTATTCGGACTTGAATGATTTTGAACATCATCGAAAAAGTATGCGGGATCATATTCGAGCGAATTTGACTGGAATATTCGCCTTTTTGCATGCACAATACTTTATTCCCCAGATAGACAAGTCGGTCATTAGTCGGTCGTGACGTACTACCGAGTTTCTACTAGTCGGTCGTGACGTATTACCGAGTTTCTACTAGTCGGTCGTGACGTATTACCGAGTTTCTACTAGTCGGTCGTGACGTATTACCGAGTTTCTACTAGTCCGTCGTCACGTATTMCCGAGTTTATATTAGTCGGTCATGATACTTTAAAGGTCTTAGAAGAAGGCAAAATCGAATATCTTCGATCATTTTCTACAATAATACATAAAATGGATACAAGGATACTATATCAGGCCAAATATCAAATTGATAGCAATTGTTTTCGTTCGATTTGGATACGTGACTGCTATTGCGTAACACATGATTCAAGCGTAAATATCTCGTGAAATAAAAAACTTTATGAAACCAAACTTTTGCAATGTCTTTCCATAATAATTATCTGTCATATATATATAACTGGYGTTTCTTTATGATCGAATTTTTATATATCGCTCTTTTATTGACGTCAAACGATCAATAACCGGCATCGAAATTGCCGGTTGTAAACAAAAACAATGCTAATGTTCTAGTGCAAAGTTCTAGTGATTGTACTATTAATTTTGACTATAGTATTCTCAGTGGTTTCAACAATGGTTATATGATTTTTTAAACAAACTAGTAATGAGTGGTTAAAACGATATTTAAAAATGTTATTTCAACTTATAAAATTGGTTGCCGTTTATAAGATTTGTTATTGGATGGATTGACTAAWTTTATTAGTTATAACTTACTAAATGTCTTTTCTCTATATTGACYATTGGATAGAGTCATATTGACCATTGGATAGAGTCATATTGACCATTGGATAGAGTCATTTTGACTAATAGTAATAGTTGTGACTAATCGAAATAGTTATTCTTGATGTAACTATTAGATTTAATCATATTGACCAATACCAATAGTTATTCCAACTATTTAGAAATAGTCACATTTTGCCACATTTTTAACTTTTATTAAAGGTTATTTCAACTATTATCTTTAGTAATAACCATTTCTAATAGTTGTTTTAACTGGGCAGTTTTTACAGTGCAATGTCATCTAAAACTGTAAGTAAGAACTGAAATAATCTTTATATTTTCCTTCAAAATTTGCTGTAAAACCTAAAAAATATACATTCTGTGTCCTTTTTGCTGTAGTTTAATTGGATAACCACACACACAATCCTGTAATGTGATTGGTTGCCTTTTACTTGTTTTGCATTTTGCATCTCCTCAAAGGAGTGYGATTAAGAATTGAAAATGGTGTGATTTTAGGCTGAAATCAACMTGCTAAGAACCAATCAGATTGCACGATTCACTTGTGATTTCAAAATGGATATAATTAACACATAAAACATATAAATTCAGGAATGAMTTTTTGCAATACGCCAGGTTGATTACAAATGGCAGAAAGTAATTTTAGTTSCATTAAAGACRCTGAAGTYGAGAATATCAGAGAGTGGAGTGGCTTTTRTGTCAACCTTGAAGGAGATACCTTAAGCAAATTTAGTATTAACATTACCTTTAACAAGTAATATTTTGTAATTGAACGAATCCCAAATACAGTATTTACCATGACAAAGTTAATAGATTGTGAATGAATAAATAATTTCAGGAATAATATAAAGCTTTTTTGGTTGATGCTGACAAGTGAAATGTGCATGCGTAAAGATTGACATCCACTTATTTGAAAAAATGAACTTTAGTTTTAAAAATAATATCAATATGATAAGTTACGCATRTGCAAATTGTTTTTGAGTATGACTGACTTTTTATACGCTCTGATGGTTTCCCACATTTGAGAGCGACCAGAGAAGATGCAGTCACACACTGCATTAGAAGATATAYCGATTTTCAAAGGGTYTAGTCAATTAAACCYGAGYCCCAGCSATTGAGATACGTGGGACTAGCTCATGAATAACTTGAGGGCAAAKTAGTTTTTAAATTGCCCTCATTAATTATTGATGAGGGAAATTTAGTTTCTAAATTGCCCTCATAAATAATTAATGATTGCAATTTAGAAACTAAACTGACCTCATGTTTTTCATGAGAGAGGGATGTTAGGATGTAAACGTCCCTTCAAAGACCCTAGCTATGCGCATTGAAACTTCAGTAAAAGTAGATGTTAACTATTATAATTTGAATGCCAGACTTTATTTGTCATACTCATTCTGCACTCCATTAACTTGTTTCTGCCAGGGAAAAATGTCAAAGAAGAAGCAGAAAGAGGAGGAAGACAAGAAGGATGTATGGAAATGGTATGATACCCTTTATTGAAGTGAGAGTTTTTAGCCTGTTCCTTTTCAATCAGTTTTCTTCATCAACATAATATATGCTTTTGTATTGTCAGGTGGGAAGAGGAGGAACACAAAGATGGGAGAAAGTGGACTACTCTAGAGCACAAGGTAGTTCAAGATTTTGCTGTCAGATATTACAGAGTTCATACAGTCATCAACTAAACCAGACTAGTACTTAAGGTCTTAAAATGAGAGAATAACTGATGTAATGTATAGATTTTCTTGGATACATTGGGAGGGTTTTGTAATAAACTAAACATTTATTAGTTATATAAAACGACCAGTCTTGGTTTCACAGATTTGATAGATACACAGAACTAATTAAAAATGAAAAGGATAGAAAAGAATCTTAGATTACACACTCCTTGTATTGAAATATAAGCTCTAACTTTTATCAGACATAAAATATCATCTTGCAAAATAACATCCACACAAGTGATATCCCTATAAGAAGAAACCAAGATCCAGGCTTCCGCTTCTTGATCTTGGTTCTTTTTGAGGTTCTACACACTACACTGAATTGCCCACATTCTTTTGTTCCATTCTTTAGGGYCCATTTTTTCCGCCTGAATATGAACCACTGCCAAGTACTGTCAAGTTTTATTATGATGGTAAGTACAAACTCATTAAAAACCTAAATTCTCATGTACTACTTAGAAGGAKCAGTAGCTGGTAAWCTAGTGAATGCTCTATCACTGTCGTTTCTTTCGTCCAAACACCGTACAAGTGCTCATTCACMAATCATATCTTCTTTCTCTCTTTGTTTCATTAAATACACAAAAATCAAGTTATTTCATGTACAGTATTTTTTGATATCACAGTACAATCGGAAATAAAGAATAAATGACTTAATTTGATTCTTGTGTATTTAATGTCTCCTGAGTATTGAACTATGAATTGATTCGCTTGCGTGCTATCATCTAAGTACAAAATAGGGACTTATTGTGAAGAACTACGGTCAACTCTCGTTTTAACGGACACCCTCGGGACCGTAATTTAGTGTCCGCAGTAGCGAAAGTCCGTAGTAACGAGAGTTACTTTCATTTATTTCTTTGTATTTTTCGCCGGGGATTCAGTATTTTATTGTCTGGAATGTCGAGGTGTCCGTTGTAGCGGGGTGTCCGTTGTAGCGGGGTGTCCGTAAGGCGAGAGTTGACTGCATTTAGTTTTTATTTTACGCCGATTAAATAAAATTGCTCTAAGTTTATAATTGTACACAATTGCAAGAGAAAAGCATACTTACTGATGTTTTGGATGTTAGTCCTTTGTTGAAATGATGAACATCCAGAGCGTTAAAAAGTAAGCTTTATATCTCTTAACGGTGTATAATTTATCTTTTTATCAAAACTGTCTTATTATGTAATTCATTCTTAAAAATATGCTAATCTTTCTCTCTCTTTTTTTTTTGGTCAAGTTTTAGCAATTGCTTGTAAGATATCATTCAGTTATTAATAGTTGTTTTTGCTTGGTTGACTTTATTAACAGTTTCGTTATCATTAAAATTTCATATTTCATAGGTAAACCATTTAAACTTAGCCKTCAGTCCGAAGAGGTATGTATCATTATTAATTGCAATAAGGTTAATTAAGGTCTCTAGAATACTTTTTTTACTTTTCAGATGTTGGTCATTAAAGGCTCAGTTAGAGCACTTTTGACCTGCAATGYATTGTGTATACATTRATATCACTAACAGAACTCGTGTTTGTTTCAGATTGCTGGATTTTATGCCAAGATGTTAGAGCATGACTACACATCAAAGGDTATCTTCAATAAGAATTTCTTCCACGATTGGAGARAAGAGATGACTGACGAKGAGCGGCAAACTATCAAAGATCTTAAAAAGTGTGACTTTAAAGARATGCATAAGTATTTTGATGAGGTATGTGAGCRAGCTGTTAAAGCTTATAGATTTGTGAATASCTTCATTAATTGTTACATGTACACTTTCAAGGTTAGTAAACCTTAAAATCTTCTTTTCTATATAAAAACTGATCAGGATTCACGGCAAGGCGTCCAGAACTGTTATCAAACAAGATATTTTGTTATTTGATTTTCTACATGGTGTATTCAGACTTCAGACTTTTTTCCACATACTTTTTTACGGTGTTAAATTTATCTTTTCACATAACTGTTTCTTTAGAAACACCGACGCAGCTCACACTAGTTTACCGCTAGTTCCCACCATTTTACCTATTCAGACTTCAATTGTCTTGCAAACAATTTCAGCTGCATGGTGAAATTATTTGTAGTGACTCATTAGTAAAAGAGCATTTTGATATGACAGAAAAATGAAGAACGCAAGAACATGAGTAAAGAGCAGAAACAAGAAATCAAAGAGAAAAATGAAGAARTWTTAAAAGAATATGGCTTCTGCATGATGGATTGTCATAARCAAAGAGTAGGAAACTTTAAAATTGAGCCTCCAGGCCTTTTCCGTGGACGTGGTGATCACCCTAAGCAGGGAAAACTCAAGAAGAGGGTCATGCCTGAAGATGTTACTATTAACATTGGAAAGTGAGTGTGGGATCTTTATATTCTACCAATACATCCATGTATTTATGTACTTTGACAATTCTCCTTCTATACAGTATTTATCGTTTCGTATCTCCTCGTAGCTAACAAGGGTACTCTTTATGTAATGAATAAACCACAACACCATTAAAATTTACAAGAGATACAAAACATGTATTTTATGGTCTAATTGCAAACTCACTAAAATTTCTATACATGCAAAAAATACAGGCTCACTTTTAATATGGTGGAAACGTAGGTGAGTGAGTACTGGACTGTAGAGCGATAATATGTTATTAATTGCATTTTGGTGTAATATGGACCATATCTGAAGCAAGTTGCACTTTTAGGGATACAGCTATACCAAAAGCACCTGAAGGCCACAAGTGGAAAAAAGTTATACATGATGATAAGGTAGTAATACGCTTATACATGATTACATTTTGCAGATCCCATTTTGCATACGGTATTGTAGTGTTTTGGTGAACATTTCCAGTTAAGAATCTCCTTTACATGTACAGTGCAGATGATACTGATGAGAAAGAAAATAAGGCAGTTCTTGATCTTGAATTATACTGCTTAGTGCATAATAGGTCTTGCTGTCCATGCGGTATTTACATGTATCATMATGATTGTTGGTTACAAACTGTTTTAAATGTATTTTCAGGTGACGTGGTTGGCATGCTGGATAGAGAATATCCAAGGAAGTTATAAATATGTTATGTTGAATCCAACATCTCGATTAAAGGTTCGTTCGTTCTTTTATTTCTGCACATATATCTACAGTATGCACAAAATGTTGGCAATCAATTTTTCTCGATCAAGGTTAAGACCTTTGGACGACAATTTTTTGATTGGTTGATGTGTACTGTTGGTCTATCAGAAGAAGAGAAATGATATGATGCTAGTCCGTTTGTTGTGCCAATTACAGTTTTTCCGTTGTTGCTTACTGTTTTATTTTTACTTTACAGGGTGAGAAAGACTGGAAGAAATACGAGACAGCACGAAAGCTGAAGGTTTGTCACYATAGAAACAAATCTTAGTACCATGTTTGAAGTCGATGGACTGTAAATTTTTTCGTAGCCCTAAAGATGCACTAGGGTGTGAAAGCTCGACTGTTTTTTTAATAGTGGTTATTCTCACGTATAATTTGATATTAGACATTTTCCGATTTTCCAAATGTTAGGCTTTCAGGACAACTAAAAACAGGAATTATTTCCCTTGCTATGAGCCTACTCTCTCTACACAGCTAATAAAAGAATTATGATCTACATTCGTTGACACCAAAATAAATTTGTCTAGGGGATGCGCTCACTTGAGCAATCATTGGCATAATTGAATTAATGTTGTGCTGCAAAAGAATTAATGTTGTGCTGCAAAAGGTGATATCGTCAAAGCTCATCCTCGTACATGGCAGCGCGTTAGCTGATTGGGTCTATGTCGGCGCCCGCGCTTGTATTTGTGGATTACCTGTAGTATGACGTCTAGGTCCCGTGCCTCGCGAGATACAAACTAGTCTGTCACAGCAAAGGCATTTTGTACTATACGCGTCGTTTTGGCGCGAGAACGCTGCCATTTTGGTTGTATTTTGGACGAAAAGTTTTCAATAGAGATCACAACAGCAATTTAATTTGTAGTGAAATAACATGAATTCAAACATGAAACTACACCATCATCTTAGGTCGCCACCCAAGAAAAAACTGCATTTAATTATACGTTTAGTTTAAGTGTATGACAACGTATAGTTTTGGCTCGAAAAATAGTGTAAAGAGAAAGATTACGGTATTTCTGCAACATATGGCATTTGCCTTTCTTCGGTCTTTTATTTTGAGAGGTCATTTTGATGGTCACTCACTAGCAGAGAATAGTGAGGACAAAAAGGGGTTTCTAGCAGGCTCTTCCTTTTTGCCTTCCCTTTTCTCCGCTCGATCYTCCCAGTCCCCTTAGGGCCTCCACGCAGACTACCATACTTCACATACTTCTTAACAGTTGTGTCTTATGATTCTGAACATACCAACGATTGACCATGTGACTGTGTCATATACATTGCCAACAATGTTCTTTATTATAGTCCTGTGTAGAAAGAATTAGAGAAAATTACAGAAAAGATTGGAAATCCAAAGAAATGAGAATACGACAAAGGTAAGTGTAATTCACATCACGGCCATKAGTTAATTATTAGTTATCTAAGCTGTCTTGTTTGCTGTGGCTTTCAGAGGTGTAGCTCTTTATTTCATTGATAAGGTAAGAATTAAAATCCATTGTAACAATTTTAATAATCGATTTAATTTTAATTCATTCCATCAATCTAGCTTTGTTGATTCTAATTTGTTTTCTGTGCAGCTTGCTCTCAGAGCAGGTCACGAGAAGGATGATGACACTGCTGATACTGTTGGCTGYTGCTCATTACGAGTGGAACATATCAGTGAGTCATATATCAAATTGTGTACATATTCCATTTGATGTAATTAGTCTATCATTCCAATTTTGTTTATTCGTATAAAAAACAATTGTTGAATATTCTTTACTCGTCTCTTTTATTCGACTTGTCGATTCAATTAACCATGGCAATTAACCAAAAAAAGAACAGTTTTCCTTCCTCCGTTCCTTTCTTTGTTATCTTTACCATTTTTCTCCGTACACTTCTATAAACTTTTCTTTGTTTTTTTTCTTTTATTTCTATTATTTTTCTTTCTTTTTTTTTTTTTTTTTTGTCCAATCCATTTTTAGGGACGTTTGCACTGGCGATTTTTTCGACGATTTTTATAGTCATTTTGATCCTAGAGAATAATGCTAGCTAAAGAATAAACTTGTAAACTTTTATTCAGAACGATGAGATGAGCTAACTTAAAGTCTCCTCAGAAGGAGTTTCTCGGAAGGATAAGACAAAATATAGTTTTGAAAATCGACTGAAAAATTGCATCAAAAATCGCCGTAAAATCGACAGTGCAGGCAGGCCTTTACTTGCTTACTAGTTGCATATTTTCTACTTTCACATCCCCATAACGCCTTCTTTTATCTAGGGGTAAGTATTGTCATTTACATCAAATTTATTGTAATTCAAATAAAATGTATTTGAATTATAATTTTTAACGCAAAAGCTGAAGGCACTATGGAATGTGGAAGTATAGACTTCATATCTTTATACCTGATAAAATACTCTCTTCATTGGACTTATCAACGCATTCAGCATGCCAATTCAATTATTATAAGTTTGATCTATAATTTTACTAGAACTACATGACGAGTGGGAGGACAAGGAATGTGTTGTTGAGTTTGACTTTCTGGGTAAAGATTCTGTGCGTTACTGGAACTTTGTGCCGATTGAAAAAAGGGTGAGTGTTGTTTATAGACAACTAGACGCATGGCGATCGTTGCTAAAACTACCCACAAGTCACGACTACATACGAGTAACATACGACTACATACGGGTCACATACGACTACATACAGGTTACAT